TAATGATGATGGTAGCAGTTTGGAAACTCTAGGAAAAATGTTTATTTCTCTTTTACTGAAGTCTATCGTTTCTTATTTCCTTTCTGGTGTCCATTTCTTCTGTTTTTTCTTTCCCTTTCCATAAATTATTTACTTTTTATTACGTTTTAGTTAATTAAGTAGTGTTTTCTGTGTCCCTGTGATTGTACATTTGTTTGTCTGTGTGTATGTGTGGGATTTGACATGGCATAGTGTGGACATCAGAGAACACTTGCACTATATTTATTGCTTGTCATTGGGGTCTGGGGATCAAAGTCAGTTATGACATCAGGCTTGTTGGCAAGTGGCTTTGCCCTCTGACGGATCTTTCTGCCCCTTAAAACTTTTAATTGAAATAAATTTATTGTACTCAATTTTCTTTATTATTTTATGTTTTAAAAGATCTTTTCTCATTTCTCAGACCTATCCCAGTTCTTACTCTCTCATTCCTCCTGCTCCTCTACAATCCCACCACCCACTTCTCATCCACTTCTTAGAGAAGGTAAGGCTTCCTGTGGGAAATCAACATAGTCTGACACATCACTTTGTGTCAGGACCAAGGCCTTTCCCCCCTATATTTAGGCTGAGCAAGGTATCCCTCCAAAAATAATGGGATCCAAAAAGCCAGTCCACTCACTAGGGATAAATCCTCATCCTACTGCTAGTGTCCCCACAGACTGCCCAAACTACACAAAGGTCAACAATATTTGGAAGTCCTAGTTTGTTCCTTTCTAGGTTCCCCTGCTATCAGTCTAGAGTCAGTGAGCTCCCACTAGCTCATATCAGCTGTTCCTGTGGGAATGCCCATTATGATCTTGACTCCTTTACTGGTATTATGATTTTGCTTTCTTTGGTGTCTGGAATCTTGGTACAGTACTTAGCTTTGGATCTCTGCTATCTGTTTCCATCTGTTGCTGGATTAAGGTTTTGTGATTGTTGTTAAACAGTTTGCAGGGACTGACCAGTTTAGGCAACCTCTCCACTCTTGCTTAAGCTCTTAGCTGGGGTTACCCCTGTGGATACCTGGGAATTTTCCTGATGCTGTTTCAGGCTAGCCCCATAAAGGCTCCCACAATCAAGACATGTCTTTCCTTGTTCTCCCTCTCTGTCCTTACCCAATCTTGACCAACCCATTTCCTCATGTTCCCATCCTTAGTCCCCTTCTCCCCCCTTCTGTCCTTCATTAACCCCTGTCCCATGCTACCAATTTTTGAAGAAGCTCTTGTCTATTTCACCTTCCAAGGGGGATATATGCATATCACTGTTAGGGTTCTCCTCGTTACCTAGTTTCTTTGTGGTCATGGACTGTTTATCGTTGCAATATGTCTAATATCCACTTATGATTGAGTACATGCCATGTTTGCCTTTATGGGTCTGAGTTATCTGACTCAGGATTTTTTTTTTCTAGTTCCATCTATTTGCATGCAAATTTCAGGATATCAGTATTTTTTTTCCACTGAGTGGGACTCCACTGTGAAAATGTACCACATTGTCTTTATAAATTCTTCATTTGAGCAGAACCTAGGTTTTTTTTCAGATTCTAATAATTTTGAATAATTCTAATATGAAAACAGATGAGAAAATGTGCTGTAGTATGAGTGTACCTCCTTTGGGTATATGGTCAAGAGTGGTATTGCTGGGTCTTGAGATATTTTGATTCCTAATTTTCTGAGAAACAGCCATACTGATTTCCAAAGAGGCTGTAAAAATATGCATTCACACCTGCATTGCAATGGAGAAGTGTTACTCTTACTCCACATCCTCTACAACATGAGCTATCATTGGTGTTTTTGAGCTTAGCCATTCTGACAGGTATAAGATGGTATCTCAGAGTCATTTTGATTTTCATTTCCCTGATGGCTAATGATATTGAGGAATTCCTTAAGTGTCTTTAGGCCATTTGCTATCATTCTGTTGAGAATTCTCTGTTTAGATGTGTATCCCATGTGCTAATTGGATTATTTGGTATTTTTATGTCTGGTTTCTTGAGATCTGTATTTTGGAGATTAATGCTCTGTCTGATGTTGGACTGGCTGTTGTTTTGTCTTAATGAGTTTCTTCTTTGCTTTATAGGATCTTCTCATATACAGGAGGTCCCATTTATTAATTGTTTTTCTCAGTGTCTGTGCTACTGATGTTATATTCAGGAAGTGGTCTCTGGTGCTCATGAAGTCAAGGCTACTTCCCACTTCCTCTTTTATGTAGTTCAGTTGAGGTCTTTGATCTGTTTGGACTTGATTTTGTGCATGCAGATAGATACGGGTCTACTTGCATTCTTCTGCATGCTGACATCCAGTTATGTCGGCACCATTTGTTAAGGATGCTTCCTTTTTTCATTGTCTAATTTTAGCTTCTTTGTTAAGAATCAGGTGTTCAGAGATATGTGGATTAATATCAGGGACTTCAATTTGATTCTATTAGTCAACCTGTTTCTTTTTTATGCCAGTACCAAGGTGTTTTCATTATTATAACCCAATAATAAAGCTTGAAGTGAGAAATGTGATGCCTCTGGAAGTTCCTTTATTGTACAGGAGTTCTTTACTCAATTTTCTTAGCAGGGTTTTTTCCCAGT